GAGGAAAAAAAAATGATGCGTTTTATAAAAATTCGATTAAAAACATTTTCATTAATGAATAATGTGCAGCACTTGAATGCAAATGTGTAAATATTATTCATTGATGAAAATATTTGTGTAATAAATACCACTTTTAAGTAATTTTTAAATTTAAAAATTGTAAACAATTATTATTATTATTATGACCGATTACTTAATAATTAATGATTAAATGTCATACTGAACTCGATGATGTCTAAAAGTTATAATCGATTATTTAATGTTATTTAATAGTTTATTTTGATGAGAAATATAAAGGAAAAAGAAACGAAATTTAGCGTACGATATTAAATGTATATCTATTATTTGCAATCTTCTTGTACATGATAATTATACTGTTTCCTCACAGCAATCAGTCATTTGCTTTCAACATCAATTTGAGTACTTTTATTTACTTAAGATTTCGCAATTTTAATGATAAGATCAGATATTAAATTTGATTATTTTAACTTTTGGAATAATCTAATACGGAATGATTGTGAACTAATATGATTTTGGGGAACAATAAGGAATGAAGCATATTTTATATGTGTACATTATAAATAAATAAACAATGCATCATTTATTGATGAATTGATTTCAAACTTTGAAAATTATCGATCATCAGTGATTCCATGTAATCTTGATTGACTATATATAATCTAATCTGCCAAAAGCTTTAAAATGAAGTAGTGAGAAAATGTTAAAAATTACTTTCAGTGTTAGGAATTTTGATCAAATTTTTCCATCGATATAAATTAGTTGCTTATAACGAATTATTCTGGCGCCGAATTGAAATATTTCATTTAAAATCTGAACGAGCACCAGCCAATAAGCACAATGCTGCAACAATTAAAGAGTACGAAATTCGAAAAAAAAGAATGACAAAATTCGTAAACTACATTAATAATGAAAAAACTGGTTTGAAAAAAAAAAATATAATCATAAGTGAAAAAAGTCAGGATTTTTATATGAAGCTTGAAAAATCTTTTCTTTAATTCCAATTTTTTTTGAATTTCAATTTTTTAATTCCAAATTAAATTTGTTCACCAGTTTAAAATTAGATGGAAATTTGTAAAGAAAAATAGAATACTATAATATAATAATCGAGCAAAAAACTAGCAGCAAAATACACTTCAGGCAATGTTTTTGATTAAAATACATTTCTTAATTTTTATAATTTAATACAATTTGTTCTATGACCTTTGATCAATAGTATGAATTTCATTGTAACGAAACGAAAAGAGAAAAAAAAATGCTTAACGTAATTTGTAGGATATGCTTAGCTTTTCGATAATAAATATTTTTTCGCTGTTTTTTTTTTCTCACTGTTTGTTGATTTTTCTGTCTTGCAATTCTCGGTTCCAATCCTTCTATGTTAGACTTTGTCAGTCATATGATATAATTGTGAAAATTTTTTCGCTTTATCATCATTGCTATATTTAATCCTTTGAAAACATATAATAAATCGTGTAAATTATTCACAATCATATTTTCCATGAAAATTTTTGCACGCCTTAATTTCACCTAAAATACAGACGGAAAAATTTATTGAAACAAGAAAAATTTTTTCTCTTCAATAAGCTGCGAATAATTTAATACGGCCTAGGAAAAATGAATGCAATCAGTGTAATAATTCATGAGGTGATTGTTGGAGAAATATTCAAGAACAAAAGTCAAAGATTAAGATAGCTACTAGCAAAATAAAGTTAAATTTTAAAATGAAAATAAAAATATTTTTAAGATAATAGTAGATAGATTAAGAAAGCAATGATTCATTCATCAGTTAATTGAAAGTTTATTGCTTTGAATATGGTGCTATAGAAAATTATAATTAAATCTCCTGTCTAACATTATATTCAATCATATGAGATTAATTAATTACTTACCAATTTGTGCTCTCACATTTCATTACTAAAATAGGTAAATTTTAATTACTAAATGCTAACAAATAGTAAATCAATAAAGCCAGCTAATTTATTTGATGATTTGAAGAGAACAATTTTTCAAATGTCCACAAAATAGTGATTGAAATTTAATCTAACATCAATCTCAATAAATCTACACCTTCATAAACCCCAATAAACTCCTACCTCATCCGTTATCTCTTCTTCATCTTTAAAAAACATGTCTACTTGTGCGAAAAATTCTTCGGAATCACCGCTGCAGTTGAGATTTTTTAAAAAATTGTTACTATTGATTTATTTGTATTATAAAATACGTCAAATATAACGAAGTTATTGTTGTTATTTCCTTTTTTTTATTAAATATGACATTTGCTAAAATGTGATAAAATTTTATTCGTGCAGGCTATTTACAGCAAAATAAAATTTTTAAATTGACAAAAAAAAATTGCTAAGATGGATGCTTAAAAAGTTTTCCTTGCTTTTTTTCCTTCCATTTCATATTTAATAAAAAAACTTTTTTCACTATATTTGCCTACATTCTCTTTTTATTTGTTTTATTAAAATTTGCGATTAACTTTCAACCTTTGTTTTGTTTCGCAAGAATTCATGGCAATGTTGCATACATCTGAACAAAAATAATCTCTATCGTGACGTAAGATGTTTAAAGTCGCTTAGACATCTTCGACACTTCGTATACATCAGTTACGTAATCATGAAATTCATAAAATCAATCTTTTCGTATACGACAAAACGTCAATAATTTTAAATCTTGATAAGAATTTATTTATATATGATTATTTTATAAACATCAATATTAAACTCTTTGTACAATGTGAAAACAGCGTCATGGGGCGCCATATCATGTTGTCCACCCATGTAATATACGGTTCAGTGCAAATGATGGATGGATTTCAGGACAATAAACAGCAGAAAAATAAAATGAAACTGAACACACAAACAAAAAAAAGGAGAATAAAAACAGGTATCATTATCAGTAGTACAGTGTCATGAAAATGAAACAAAGCAGCAGGAAGTCATCAAATATCAGACACAGTAGAAGAACCGGAACTCCTATAGTACCACTCTGGTAACAATAAGCCAGAAAAATGTCCAGAAATCTGCATAAATTACACGAATAAAAATGAGGAAACAGTGAAAACTAAACCGGAAAATCATCATCGATTCAACAATCCTCATATACAAAAAATACCGCTCATTATGTTACATTAGCTGGTATGTTCCAATATAATAATGTGTTAACAGTATAAAGCTGCTTAATTCTATTCACGCACTTCTCACTTCTCCAATTTCTAAACATTATGAATAGTCAAACTGGCAACGGTCAACAAAACCTAGTTACATTTAAGTAAGATGTAATCGCAATAATCCAACAGAATTTCGAAAAAAAAGACTCAAATTATTGTCAAAAAATGAAGTGTTTCATCAATAAACTTAGAAAAGATCAAAAACTCTCGTTTTATCAATAAACTTGAAAAAGATCAAAAATATCCTACTAGACATTATTGGAATCAATAAACATTTTACTTTAGCTATCCAGAAACTCGATGCCAGTAATAATCGGAAAAGGTAAGGAAACTTTCTGCGCTCTTTGAGCCGAAGCAATCAAAGTATGAGACATGAAAACAGAAAGAGGGAGGAGACCGGGGCCGATAACAGAATATTAAAGAGATCGCATACCAAAAAGCTAAAAACAACTGAGAGAAAAGGTAAAACATAAAAACAAAAAACCCTTTCCAAAGCGAATTAGGTGATCTTTTAAGATATACAGAGACAAGACATGATATTTTTAAAATTGAAAAGACCTAACATTCAGATCTCTACTTGGAAATCATGAAATCGTTAAATTCATCAAAATTGCTGGATTCGAAAATATGAAATCATCTATTAATGATATCAAATACATTAATCCAACTAATCAAACATAAGATGATATCAAAGCAACGCAATGGAGTTCCAGAAAATAAGCAAAATCATCCTAAAAAAGGTCAAATGGTTTTTCTTATAAATTCGACAGGCTGTGAGCTTTCGAAAAAAAACCTCACAAGTGACCGTCTCCCATAAACCTCAAATCTCAACTCGATAGAATGAGAGTAAAAAACGTATGAACAATGACGTCCGTATACTCAATTAGCAGAAAGCATGAATAAACGCATTGGAAAAATTGAAAACTATTAAATTTTTTTTTTCTCGCCCTTCTAAGAATTGAGCAAATCAAATCCAAAGGGCACAGATATAATGCATGATCAGACCAATGTAGGTTAGCAACAGTAGCGGTCAATAATGGAAATATGAACGTTTTCTACTTTTGCTATACAAAAGTTCCCCGATAAGCTGATAATTTAGAATGAAGAAAAAATTTTAAAAAAAGGCCAAAAAAGCAGCGTAATTCATGCAAAAAATAAAAGTATGATCTTAGTTTTTTTACCACGACAATTTATTCCCGAAAACGAGACTTCCCGTTCCAAATTATTCCCGTTTTACAGAATGCTTTCCTGATCGAACTGCAATTCTTTAGATAGGATTGTCTAACTGATTTGCTTGGAATTCCTCAGAAAACTGGTTACATGAAATGGTTGCTGAATATAATATAGAACCAAATAATCGCAAAAAAAAAAAAAAACCATATATAATCCTAAACAATGAGAGAAAAATTTTAAACGCAGAAGAAAATAAAGAACGATAGTGCCTATCAAAAAAAGAGTGGAGAAGGAAGAAAACAATTTTGATAAAACAATTCCTTAGTCCAAGACTAATCATTTATGCGTGTAACCAATTACTGCACTACCACCAACAGTATCAATTTCACCGACATTAACACGATTCGGATCAACTGTTCCTTTAAAACCCAAACAGGCACCATCAACAACCAGTTTATTCCCTTTATTACCCTTTTTCTTGCGCTTTCCACCACCCGTTAATAATTGTTGCGAGGTAGAACTGTCGGATTTATTGTTCGCCGCAATGGTACTTACTGCATCCGCTGCTTGCGCAGGATGAGTTAAATCCTGCAAAAACGAAGATTGTAGAAATAAAAATATTTCATACTTCAGTGATAAAGATAAAAGTGAAATAACTAGCCTTTTGGAACTGCATAAAAACCAACAGAAAATTCAATCTAAAAGGATGCAAACTTACATCCTTATCAACAGGTTCTCTCTTCTGACGCGCTTGCGAACGCCTTTCTAGAAATTCTCGTATCAGTTCCTTAACTAAACGACTCTCACCCAAATAACCAATTATGTAGTCTTCCACCTAAAGAAAATTTCAATGCATTAGCCTATACGTTAAAAAATTTGCATATTTCAAGAAATAACTACTATGAACCACATACGACTATTTGTAAACATCCAATAAAAGAATTTGCAACCATTCAAAGAGCGATCTCAAGAGAACCGAGAGTTAAATGCTTTGAGAAATTTCAATCATACTTCATTAGGATTATCGACGCCCTCAATAAATGCGGCGAACACATCGGCATCCACTTGTTGGTTTAACTGTTTCACTCGATTTATCATCCAACTAGTGAGAGCATTACCACTACTTGTAACGGACTGCTTGAAAATTTTCTTTACTGCCTAGAAAAAAGTTAAAATGAAATTCTTTTTTTTTTTTGAATGAAACCAATACACTATTAGAGTTCAAAAAATCTAGGAGTTTTCGGCAGTTTTAAAAATGTGAAAAATCCGCATTAAACGAAAGCGACAATAAAACATACTTCGTGTTCCGCACTTCCTCGTTCGGATTTGTTTGCACTTTGTAAATTTCTAAAAAGTTTTGATTTTGAAAATGAATGGAAATAAAAAAACAAAAATTATGATCTATATTTAAAGGTAGATTTTTTCTAATGGTGTACCTGCAAGTTTTAGTTTTACCACTATCTGAAAGCGACGGATCATCCCAGATTGCTTTTGTGGCGGTTATATCATTCATGCCTCTGGCGCCACCCCATGCAACTTGTCGTGAAGGTATAACCGTTGTATCAGGCACTGACTAAAAGAAGTTGAAAAAATTGTACATGAAAAAATGAATGGTCAATAATTAGACAGAAAAATTCATATCTGAATCCATATTTGAAGTAACTTCACCAAAATAATTAGAACAGTCGATCATTGTGCTATATATAATTAAAACAGGAAAAAATCATTAAGGGTGCAGAATAAAAGGACCTGAGAATCCTGCCTCCATTTCAGTTTATTTGTGGCAGAACTCCAAACTCCTGCACGAGCCGCTTCACTAGCATCTTTCCATATTGTTGCACCATTTATTTGTTGCTGCTGTTTATGTTTCATTTCCGCAATCATTTGTCGCTCTTCCTCTTGCTGTATGTCCAACAAACTTGGCTCGCTTCGATCAGTCGTTTCCTTATTTGTTACAGTAACCCATGGAGCGGCTAAAAAAACAAAGAAAAATTTTTTTTTTTAATCGCTACAATAATAAAGGCAGTAGAAGTACAATGAGCCAGCATCAGTATGCCGCAAGAGGAAAAGAGACAAACTTCTCGCTGTAGTCACTTTTTCTTCACCACTCTGATATGTTGCTTGCCAGGAATATTGCCAATTAGCGGATGTATTTTCTGGTCCTTTTCCCCGTAAAGGTGGCGCGAATTCTTCAGTAACAATGAATTCTTTTGAAGTATTCTGAAATGTCAATGTTTAAATAGTCGCTGTCGCTAGACACTTACCCAGCACCAGATGTATTACCGGAACATTGACTGCCAAATTCTAGAAGTAATTTAATTACATATCAGATATGAAATGACAATTTGTAATAATTTCATTAAGTGAAATTTGTGGAAGAAATTTACGCTGTACCTGTACAAATACTGATTAAATAATATCTTGAATTAAGTAACTATTTCACTTAAAATTAAATATACTACCCCTTTTCTTGATTCTACTGGTAGCTTATAATGCAAATTTTCTTTTTCACATACAGCTGCTGCCGCACTTGCCGACATTTGTTGCTGTAATCGCTTTTGTTCAGCGACTGCTTTTCGAGTTGCTTCTTCAGCTTCTTCTTGTATTCTTTTCAACTCCTTTGCTTTTTTCATATGTCTTTCTGCTTCATCTTTTAGTCGCTGCTGTTCTCTTTCTTCCTCTTTCTAAAATAATAATGATACCTTTCCATGAAAAACTTGCCCAAAAAGGTAGAAAAAAGTATCAAGAGTTCATATTAAATTGTTCTTTCAAACTCCTTTCTTGTCTTTCTTTAAATTATCTTTGGGGCAACAGCTTTATTATAAAGATCATACTCGTCTTGTTTCCGCTAATGCTCTTTCCACTTCTTCCTTTTTCGTCCTTTCCATCTCTTCAGCCAATCGTTTCTTTTCAGCTTCTATTTCACGCTCTCGTGCCGCTGCTCGCTCTTTTTCTTCCGCTGCTAATTGTGCTAATTCTTCCTGAAATTTGAATTTCTGAGCGGAAAAAGCCTTCAGTATTCCAAAAAAAAAAATCTGATTCTGTGAAAATAATGCAGTATTATGTGACTTCAATCAATTTTCCACTGCATCGTATAATATTCCATTCGCTGGAGACTCTTTTGTCAAATATTCCATTAATTAAGGGGGAGAGTATAGGGAGATGAAAATGCTACCATCTTACTTGTGCTCTCTGAAGTTGTATTTCTTTTTCCATAATTAATCGTTCTCGTTCAATTCTTTCTTCTTCCTCTTTCAACAAAGCTTCTCGCATTTGTTTCAACTGTTTTTCTTGCTCTGCCATCCGACGCTGCTCTTCTTCCAATTTCTAGAAATGAAAAGGTCAATGTCATATTCTTGGCAGGATAATTCAACGATGGACATGAAGAGATCAAATTTATATAAAATTTGACGTAAAACAGAAATGAGATGCTGACCTGTCGTTCTTTCTTAACTTTTGCAGCTTCAATAAGCGATACATTATAATCTCGACTCCATATGTTTCTGCTGTGATACATAAAAACCATTAGCAAACCAATGAAACACCATTAATTTACATTATGATTTACAACAGCATCTACTCATGAGAAATAGCATAAGTAAATCACTTTAATATCCCAATTACAGTTAATATATGAAACACCTGACTCTAATGAATACTGTTTTCTAATGCTTCGATGTTTTCTCATTTCAAAACAAATCATTTAGCTATAAAAAATGAGGATGCTTACCTTACTTCCTCAGTCTGCTGTAAAGGTAACTGCATTACTGATGGTTGAAAAGGTTTCAATTTAAACGGTGTCTCCTCACTATTCATTGTTATCAACTCACCCAAAGTCATGAAACTGCTATCTGGATTTTGCCCATGTCTCACACGTAACTCTGATGTGAAATATCCCAATTTATACCAAGCCTGGAATTTTCGCTTAAAGAACTTCTATTTCCCAAATATGAGTATGCAATACAAAGCTTTCTGCTTTAGTACTTAAATGGAAAGATTCCAATAAGGATTAACGACTGTACAAAATCATTCTACATATTTCTCATCCACAATTTAATGCGATTCTTACCTGCATATGAATTGTTGGAAAAGGACCTTGCACGGCATTTTTCGGATCCACATAGTACCATTCATCGACATAATCAGTTCTCGGAGTTAGGCTCATTGAAGCAGGATGACCAAGTAAGGTCACATCATCTGTGTACTGAAAAATCATAAAATCGAATATTTCAAATCTGAATACTGTTCCCAGTACACGCACATATGATTAACACCCAGCTTTTATAAAACAAATACTAAAAATGATCCACATGCATATCTAAATTAATTCTAATCTTTTCTTCTGTCAGTCATACATCGTGCAGTTTACACAATCATATGTTTACATAAAATCTACCTATTTCGTGCTTCGTAATGCTATCTTTTATCATTTGAAATGCCAAAATTTAAACAGCGAAGTTGAAATATGTAACGATGACATAACTTTTTTATAGCTAAGGTAATACCATGACAACTTTCGGACGTATATAAAAAATTCATAACCATTACACAAAAAAAATGGATTTGATGAAAAGAGATTAAAAAGAGAAAAATGGGACTTTTATTATATAAAATAAACAATACATTTTGCTGGAAGGGACTATTTACAGCAGCAGTCGATACAGTTACGGGTGTGGACTGTCCAGATGCTAAACTAATGGCACCATCAGGTTTCTGAAACAATTTAAGTATAGAAGACAAAAATGAGGAATGCTGTTATCTGTTAAGATTTATCATATTTTTCAGATTTATTATTACTCGTCCTATAATACGCCCTTGCAGACTTCACTTTTCAAAATACGGTTATCTTGTTTTTGTGAAAATAAAAACAGCTACTGATTACAGCCAAACAAAAATCAGCAAAATTAAATCACGTGGAATGGCTGAGCAATTTAGCATTATACAGTTTCATATCATCCCATTTGCGATAAATTCACAAATACCTAACCTCAACAAACTGCTTTGTAATTCTATTTGACTGTGATTGCTCCAAACTATTGGATAACATAGACCAAGCATTAGGAACAGTGACAGGTACAGATGATGCTAAAGCTGGCTTTTCGTCTTCCTGATGCGACGTCTGTCTGAAACAACATATCTTTAAATTCTTTGCACTGAAACATATCAAATTTCTTCTAAACCAAAATGACACTGTTTCATTTTTGTAAATTTTTCGTATCTTTAAAAATATCATAAAAGAAATAATACTATATCAAACAACTTAAAAACCAAATCAGATAAGCAAAGACCAAAAGATGCAGTGACAAAACAATTTCCATTATGAAATAAGATTAAACAAACCTTTCCGGAATATCCACTGGTATGTTTGATGTAGGGCTTTCTATCAAATCCAAAGACGTTGCCATTCGTTCAGCGATTGCTGCTGCTTGAAACTGACCGCTGTCGTCAAATGAACCAGTTTCATCCATATTTGAACTATTTCCTCTGAAATAAAAAATCGAATCACATTCAGGATTACTGCAATCATTATAAAAGCTCTGGTAAATCTTTGGAACGATAAAATAACCTCTCTTGATCCTCACTCATCCATTCGGGTAGTTGTGACTGATTAGTAAATTCGACACTTGCCGCTGGTTGTTGCATTACATTCATATTGACATGCATTCTTTTACTCCATGGTGCTGCAGCTCGTCCTACTTGGGTCCAACCACTATTCAGGGGTGCAGGAGAATCGTCAGCAGTACTACCAAATGATGGATTTGATGTGTCATCAGATGTGCTACGAAGGCGTTGTCTTGGACGATCACGTGGATCTCGCGGATCGTACAGGCCTTGGGCTCGTGCATTAAATGGTTGCGTGGTAGTATTTCCTCGGCCAAAACCAGCTATACCGGTGCGATTATTTCGACTAGCATCTACACAAACATCACATGTTATACCAAGATTAATTGAGGTATTGGTACAATCTAATAAATACAAATTATATCACCAAGTTAACTTTGATTTTTTTTTTCAGTAAACTAACTAAATCGTCCAATTCCTGCTGGTTCGGATGGATTGGTAGAACTTGTTTGCATCATACCACGTCCACGATATGAACCTCCGAAGGTGGCACGGCCGAACTGTAAGCTTCCCCTTCCAAAACCACTATTCCCACCACCTGTAAGCGATCAATTCAAACAGAAATAACTTTGATTTTAAGAAGCAAAAGAAAATCAAAGAAACCATATCTTTTAGCAAATGCCACTTCCAAACAAAACAAGCGTCCCAATTTAAAAAACCAAGTTCGACAAAATCTCACTGGAATCTTGAAACTATTTCATCATTTTCTAACACTTGGTAACGTGAATTAATAAAAAAATTGTAATGCACTTGCGTACCAGATGTAGATATCCACGATGGTGAAAACAAACGGTTTTCTTGGCCCATCCTCAATGGCAGTGAAATATTCGGGCCACCAATCATGCCACCAGAAGCAATCGTTGCTCGATCAGCATGGCTCAGTAAACTCATCGCTTTGCTCGAATTTATGTTGTGCTGCAGCCGCTATAATGTCTACGTAAAAAATGATGGCTTATTTTTTGGGAAATTTGCACTTAAGTTATGAAAAAATATCATTGTAATATTTGATTGTTTGAAAATTAATATTTCATTTACTTTCTTCATAAAATTAACAGCCTAAAGATACCGTTTCGGTATCAGAAAGCGGCGTTAATACAATTGGCTTCTGAGCAGCAGGCACATAAAAGTGACATTTATCAAGGCCATCTGGGGGATGCACATCTTTGAAAAGAAGAGCGAGCAGATCCTCACGACCATAACGATTTTTTACGAAAATTGGATCCGCTATAGGATAATCGATTGCAGGCTAAAAAAAATGATCTGCAATCAGATTAAATTCCTGTTGACTGTTTAAATTAAAAAATCAGATCGTGCAAACCAAAAATTCAGTTTTATTTTAGCACAGAAACTTTGACAGTTGAAACACTTTAATTATTTAGTAGAGTGTGTATGGTTTATGGAGTGAATGTACAACAAACAATATCATATACATATGTTTCAAAAGATCCAGCAATGTAAGTTATCAAATTATCATATTTATCCACATTTGTTTAACTATTAATGAAACGTTCAGTCATCTCGAAATCAGAGGACCAACTGAAGAACTCCCTTCGCTTGTTTCTCGCAGTAATCCGACATTAAATTTTTAGGCTTTACTAAATTGAACCCGTTAGGAGTTCAATTTTCAAAATCAGAAACAATGGTTGGTGCAATGAATCCTTCAAGTGAAGATCAAGAAGTAACTACTTGATGCTAATCTGGTCATGAAATGAAATGACAGAATTGTTTTTACTGATGTCAATTAATTTTAATAAGCGATGTTAATTTTAACAAATTTTGAAACTTTACAACACACATTTTCAGCAACAAAGAGTGGTTCCGTACGAGTACCGCTACTATTTCCACCTCCAGCCGATATCGGCATAGAAACGGGACGCATCCTAAAATGCAAAAAAAGGGACAAATATATGTAATAACACGCATACTCATTCGATTTAGATTTTTTCTAGATAGCACACACAGCATTCATATCTTTGTATATTACGTAATATCGATTAATTTATGCCAATACCCTGCCTCGCATTTTATATGCATAAATTAAAAAATGATTGAGGCTAAAGTTCACTTCACTAACCATGATGGATTGAAATTTAACTGATTTGAATCAGCGGCAACAACAGTGGTAGACATTTCAGAGTGTTGGCTTTGGTATCAAAAGCAATGACAGAAAACCTATAAATTGATCTTTTACTGTAAATAACGAACACGACATTAATGTTATTGTAAGCACGTGATATGCTTTTCTATATATTTAATATTCTTCATATTCATGAAATGCGTGAATTTTACAAGGCATACGAATGACTGAACGTCAAATTGTCCATAAGGATCATCCCAGTTCTCATACCTACATTTCCTTCCTTTTATGCATTTACTGCTTTGCATAAATACATGAACAATTTTATCAGAATTTGATTATTACCACATTCATGTAACCAAATGTAACGCATATATATTAAATTTCAGAAGTTGAAAATATGCGAAAAAGGCATATTTTTATGTCCATTAATTCGTAAAAGTTCTTCAATTAAAAACTTTAGCTAATGACTTAATTAATCAACTTTTATAACACGATGTCTCGAACTGATTAAATTGTCAAATGCTATAGTCTGTAAGAATTTTTTTTTCTCTCTTTAAAGAAAAATGACGCGGCAAGCTTTTCGACTGCGATATACAGATATACAAAAATAGGAAGTATCGAAAAATCTGCAGTGAGCACCTGACATCCTACAATCAACATTTGAATTAGTAAACACATATTTAATGTAGAAATATGTCCATATTGCTGTTACGATACTTAACAACCATACTTTTATTTTTACAAACAAACGGATTTCCATATTAAAATATATACTAAAACCGAGCTTTCCCATAAAATGTTCTAGTTCAAGGAGTCCGTGATAATAATATAAAAGCAATTCAACTTTTTATGCGTTTGTTTACAAGAAGTTTGATAGAACAGTGTGTCCAAGCTACTAAAGTTTTGGTGCCAGGATGTCTTAGCTGCTGAGACTCTAAAACTTATCATGGTATCTTAACAGCCAAATCTTAGATACAATAGGTTTGATATCATATTGTTTGTTCATTTAATGTCAATGCGCATTTACAGCTTTACGCTGTAATAATGAAGCTTTACACTAATAGAAATAACAAAATCTAAGTAATATGCAGTGAGTACAAATACTTGTTTATACTGTAAATTCTCACATGTTATATCAAAAACGAACGTAAAACGCGCAAAACCTTAGCACAACAACACAACCACGTGACACGAAACAACAGAAAGTTGCAATCACCCTCCACCCTTCCATCCTTTTACGCATGTATATCAACAACAGACTCATTTTATCACCAGGCTATAAATTGTGCTATGATGTGTGTCGCGAAATGATTTGTATGTCCCAGTTATTAATATTCGTGCCAGCTTATCATCATTTTATCCGATTTTTTCATCTGAGTGTTACCTGAGCGCTGCAAATTAGTACTTGAGTATAAATTTATAAAATTTAGATTAGATTACTATCATAAAGTTGACTTAATGATACAAGAATAAGCTATGTGGTGATTTCTTTTAGCTTACAGAATTTAGGGGGAAAATTGAAAATTTTTTCTGATGTTTTTAATGATTTAATATGAGAAAGTCATGAATTCGTCAAAAATCTAACCAATTTTTACTAATTATTTGTAAGGATACGTTTCAGATTCGATCAGTTATTGTGATGTATTAAATATGGTTGTAAGCAAAAGTTTATGGAGATTATTGGTAAGATCGAAAAATTGTAATCACATAGCAATCCGGAAAAGTTTCTATTCGGCTTGGATTAAATGTACAGAGTGAGGTTATGTTGATGTTAATTAAAGTAAAAGTAATAGGAAGGCAGTAATAGATTGTTTGTTCGGAATAAGTTCACTGTTATAGCATGAAGTTAATGTATTCCGTAGATAATTTATTGCCAATTCTGAGTAAAGTTGTCATCCAGACAAAGTATAAAGATAGCTCATATATTAAGATTGAGTAAAAGTAAAATATGAGTTGAAATATGCAGTTTATCTTGAATTGAATTATGATTTGATTAGAAAATAAGAAGTATAAATAATAGTTTGGAAGAAGATTTGTTATAGAAAAAATATTGTATGGATAAATGTTAAACGTTTTGGAAAAATTCAGGAAGGAACTAGTTTAGTCTAGTGTATGTTATAATTGCTTCTCTTTTCACACCCAAAGGCGTTTCAAATCTCAAGTTTCATATAACGATTTATTTAGATTCAATATGATTTTTTTTTCTGGAGGTATATTGAGTATGTGTTGCAGAGCAATGGCTGAAACGCAACAAGCTGCTGGTAGTAACAGCATTGATGTAGAACGTCTCTTTACTAGAAATGATATTCAGAGTTTATTGAAGCGTCTTACGGGATTAAACCTTAGAGAGAAATTATTCCGCAGTCGGCAAATAACTCAACCTCAACGTGCACATTATGCTTTGATGACAGATGAAGCTTACCAGAAGGTATCACTTCAAAATTTCGAGTTTTGAAATCCTTTTACAATATATAAATTTTCTAGTATTGTATTATTTTTTTGCATACAAAGTTTGTTACTCATAACTATGTGCTACCAATAATTTTCCTGTATCATAGGTTACAGATTAAACATTTTACTTGTACTGTAAATTGACTTCACAAAATTTAACCTAGATATGTTAAAATTTTTCAGACATTGGAAAGCATGGAAGAAATAGGAACGAATTTTCTACAGTTTGTGCCTGTACTAGAACCGCGTTGTAGTACACCAATTGTTTTAGCCAATGATCCGGAAATCAGAGGCTTTGATAGCAGTAAATATGTCTTCACTGATCTTTCTTTTGGTCTTGGAGTTCAGGTCAAAATATTCGCATATGTTTTTTTTTTTTCAAATAATATCATTTTTACCATTGCTAAATAATTATATTTTTCCATTGCTAAATAATTATCTTCATTATAGGTGCGTTCAGTTGTTGTACGTGAAACAGACGGTACATTACGAAGCGCAACACCAGAAGAACGAGATCGAATGACAAGAGTTTACAAAGGTCATCAATATCGACCAGTATTCGAACCACCACTGTTCAAAGATCCATATTTACAGGTTCACTGTTTGTAATGGTGACTAATTTAGACGATAGAATTGAAATTCTATACGACATGAGTCAACTGTGCACATTTCGTACAATGGTGAAATATTATTTAGATAGCATTGGATAGGGATGATCACGAATATGTCCTTGATTGGGCTTGCCATTATTATCTGCCGAATGACCCAGCATTTATCAAAGTTAGCTTAAATGAATTCATTCAAATATTTTTCCGTATGAGGCTTGTTAACAATTGGCAGTAGTTTTCCGCTTCTAAGCTTTCATATTTCAGCATTTTGGAGCAGAAATCATGAGTCCTACAAAGCTTCCTTTCTTAATATTTTTTAAATGTTATAGAGCTTATATTTTTTGTCCTTTAAACTCACTTTTTTTAATTTATCCTTGCTTTTTTGTCTCTTTTTCATGAAAATTTTGTGAAATTTTCACAAAATTTCAGCTTTGTCACATAATATTTGATCGCACAGTGGACGAAAATAAATTTGCAAATTTACATTCTACCAGACATTTTGGTCCTTTCGTTTTCTATCTCGTATTGAATAACAAATTTGCATCTTTACTAAATTATTATGCAGTCGAGAAAAAGCAAGTTTTTTTTCTTTTTCCTTCCATTGTAAATCTTTTTTCTAGAATATCATCAGATTGATTTTATTTCCATTTTGTTCTAGAACCGAAGACGCTGCAAATTTAGTGCGCCTAATTAAAGCGATTTTCACAGATGAAGTATGGAGTCGCCAAATGAGGGATGCGGATGATTTGGAAGTATTACAGGTACGGTGTATATATATATATATATAATTTTGTTTCATTTCGAAATATTTTCAGATTTCTTTCGTATTTTTGTATTTTGTAGCAATACGCAAAAGAAAATACGAATTACGAAGCCACCATATGTGATTTAATAAAGGCAACCAAGAAGAAAAAAGATGAAATTAAGAAGAGTAATGAAAGTGAGGTTGGCACGGGGATAAAAAGCGGAAAAGAGGTAAAATATTGAAATTCTCCTCCTTTTCTTTTTTGAATTAGCTTTCCTGAAAATTATGAAATTTATTCATTCAGCAGCAGTTTTTGGATAATAAGAGTGAATAACTTTTTTATATCTAAACAGTTATAGCGTACTTCGACAATAGATAAAGAAAGTTTCGCGAGTCCGGAAGGACCACTTGGTGAAATGGCTAAAGAGTATGATGTACATGTAGTACGCGGTTCATCTGAAGCCATGGAACAGATGCAAAAATTAGATGGAAAATCACGCAAAGGTAAAAGGCGACAAGACAAAAAAGATAATAAAAAATAGAATTCTGCATTATTATTTGTTATGTAGGAAGCTTTACATGATTAAAGTTATCATTGGAACAAAATGTCTGACGCAAATAAAATCGATGATCGTGTGACCAGAAATAGTTCACCGTTTGTTACTACAAAATAGATATGTGGTATTTATTTGATTATTCCAGAAAGGATTTATTTTACATTATTAAAAAATGCATGCCTGTTTATCCTTGTTATGTTATTTTCTTATTTTTTTTTAATTTAAACAACACGTATAATGAGCAGTACGTGTATGTATGCTTTCTAATAGCGTAGCATGTCTTACATATTTCTCTATAAGGATTTGATGATCAATTCCATGCCCTCATCAATAACAAATAAACAAATAAAGAATATGCAATAAGTCATCGGGATGATCGATCACAATCACATAGAAGTCATGCATATCTTATCGTTTTTATTATGTCTATTTAAGTAAAAGTTACAGTATGACAACTTATCAAATATTCCTTCAACAAATTGAAAAAAAAAAAATGTCATTCCAATGAACGAATATTAGAAAATAGTTCAGAGATTGAAAGAGCAAGAGTTAACTAAGAATCAATTGCCCGACTAGTTGCTAATAAGAATAGAAAAAAATCCACATATTAAGCCATTACATTAGCTGTGGATTAAATTCTCTTTTATTTTGACAATTTTAACTTGCCGTTTCCATTAATTTACTGACAAAAATGAGAATTATCGTTGGAAAAGACTATGCGCCTTAGTAAAAAGAAAGCTAGCAATGCAGTTAGCATTTAATATTGAAATAACAATTATAATGAAGGTTTGATTGTCAAAGCAACTGTCATTATCGCATAAACTGCATACACAACTAGCCTAGTGAAATTTAAGGCCTTAGAATAAATATTGGCCACCAATGTCCTAATGACTCTAATAACGATTTAAGCATTCAGCAGGCTAATTGTTAGGCTTACTAATATATTGCTTATAAAATTTGATGAAGGTTTGAAAGCGTATGTACCTTATCATAACATGCAGAAATTTACTTTACACGATAATTTGCTTTTTACACGTTTATTGTCTAAAACTCACTTCAATTATTCGATGTTTATTGAAATTATTTATCTTCCCATCTATTAATTTTATCAATATTTCTAAAATATCATTAGAAGCGTGAACAGGGAAAGCAAAAGTTTCTTTTACTTTTTTCATTGTGTGCATTTCAATGATCACATTATTAGTAGTAGAAATGTTGTAAAATTAATTTTTTAAATATAATCGATTGGAAAGCATCTGAAATCCATTTTTATTCGCCAACTTTGCTAACAACGGTAGAGTGACCAGTATAATCTCACAATTTTTTCTCATTTTTTGTTTGAAAAATGCATCCAAATAATTCCATAATATTTAAGAGAACTAAATAGT